ACGCACGACCCCTTCCACACAGGAGAAGGGCACTGGTGATCCATAGGGAAACGTGAAGCTCTGTGGAGTCATCCTGCCCTTCTCAACCACAGGCCTGGGGCACCGGACCACTGTGGGAAGAGAGCGGAGCGGTGTGTTTGGCTCTGCCCTTCCCCAGGGGCAGCAGGGAGCCAGGTCTGGTGGGGCAGAGACGCAATTCCTGATGTTCTCTGCATCAGTTTTGTACTCAGAGCCACAATTCCTGACCACCTGATGGCCATCACTGTAGGAAAACCAGCGTCTTCCATTTCCACATGGATCATCCCCAGTCCGGAGCTGTCAAGCCTGTGAAGAAGCCTGCAAAGGAAGCAGGATGTCCCAGCAGCCCTGCTCACTTTTAATCCCGTTGAGTGCTAATATTGCTCCCAGGTCCTGGCTTCAGTTTGGTCCCATACCATAGAAAGGACTCACCCCTGCACTCCGGGGCAGGTCCGCTCCATGCCAAGCTCACCCCATCATCAGAGGTGCAGTAGATGGAGTCATCCCCAATGAGGGACAGACCCTCCACACAACTGTACTTCACTTCCGAGCCATAGGGGAACAGCTCTGTTCCCAAGCTGGTGTGCTGCCCGTTGGCGATTTTTGGAGGGGGACCACAGACTATGGGAGAATAGAGAAAGAAAAGATTAAGGTTTTCTTCATTCAGCAGGGAAATAACAGGAAAAGCCAGTTCTCAAGGTTTATGCTTAGGATTGCTCTCCTCAAAGTCCTCCTCAGCTCCACCAGTGTTCCCATCCTGGCCCAGCTAACCACCTCAACCCAGCACCGCACGTGTCCCAGCCTTCCGCCAGCCTTTCCTTATCCCTCCTCTTTTCCATGAGGAATGATTCTGCTCATAAACATGGTCAGGGAACTGTGCGAATCATAAACCTCTCGAACCCTCTCTGAGAAGTGGGTGCAAGTCCCATTCTCAACATATTTAACCAGTTGCAGTTTTGGTAGAAGATAAAAAGCTTAAAGTCATTTAATGGTGTGAAAGGTGAAAACGTTAGAGCCATTTAATGGTGTGACTTGGACTCCTTCTCCTAACACCTCCTTCTCCAAGAAGCAACGCTCAGGTTAGACAATTTCCTCACTGCTGCCCCTAACCTCTGCAGAGGTGCAGTTCCTCACACCCGCTGTTGGTGCTCACCCTTGTCGCAGTATGGCACGGGGGGTCTCCACGTCCCATCAGACCAGCACTGGATCCTCTGATTGCCCCTCAGCACATAGCCAAGCTCGCACTGAAATTCCACCTGGTGCCCAAAGCTGTATTCGTCTTTCCTGGGACTGATTTCCCTCCCATGTTGGATATCCGGGCTGGGACACTGCACCTCTGAGGAACACCAGCATCAGAAAGAGCTTCCATGGATCAGGTCAGGAGGGAAGAGCAAAAGACATTCACGGGGAGGTGTTTTCCTACAGCAGTGGCTTGCAGACCAAAAGACCTTGCAAGGCAGCCTGTTAATGCTGACAGACATCTCTAACCAGACCTGACATGCTCAGGGACCATAATTATGTGATAACAACCATTCCTCTTGGAAGGCAGAACCATCCAAGCCCTGTAATTAGCTATAAATTGTGCTAAAGGGATGATACATTACAAGCCGCATCACTGCATCCTTTGAGCAGCTAAATGATCAGTGGGACTTGTAGCTATTTCTTCTCAGCCATGTTACCCTTTGAACAGCAAACTCATCAGCAGTGAGAGCCAAAGATCTGCTCAATAAAGCCCCTATGGCCCAGCAGGACTAGTGGGGCTTTTGGACACGATGTTACGACCACATCATTAAGTTGATGCAAAGGAAGCAGTGTACTTACTCTGGCAAAGCTTCGGGATGCTGGTCCATGTGAAATTTTGAAGACAAGTAGTTACTGGAGATACTCCAGGGACCAAAGTGTATCCGGATCTGCAGGAGTAGGTCACGGTTGTCCCGACTGGAAACTCGCGCTGATGGTTTCGGTCCGTGTGGTCAATGACAGGAGGGTAGGAACAATGACCTGGTGCCAGAGTAAAGGGCAACATGGACCCTCAGGGCTGGGGATGAGGCTGAGCCCTGCCTGAGGAAACCCAGTCTGTCCCTCAGGCACCGGTGGAACCACAGAAAGAAGCCAGGGACAGCAGCGGCCATGAGCATTGCTGTGGGGTACAGGGGGTGAACTGAAAAGGAGAATATAATGATGACAAATTCATCAAAAGGATGTGAAATCTGATGAAGGTCTTTATTCCCATACACTTTTGTATCCCACTGCGTGACCCTGCTGTAGGCAGGACAGCCCTGCCATGTCACCCAGGGGCAACGCAAGAGCAGAGGGGAACCCTGCCGCCAAAGGTCAGGCAGCGCAGCTCGCCACGGTACCCCCCCCGGCCCTCTCCTGCACATGCTTTAGTGAAAGACAAGTAGGTGATGGCCTGTGGGACACAAGGTAAGGAGCAAAGAGATCTGTGCGTACCTGGGATGCAGGCGGGCACCCGGGGGGGCCATCTGCCATTGCCCAGGCTCTGCCATTGCCCGGGCACCTCACGCTGCTGGTGGCACCCAGGGGCATGTAGCCGGTGTCGCACTTGAGCGTGGCTGTGCTGCCCGAGGTGAAGTTCTGTGCAGGTTCCAGCTGTCCATGGGTGATATCTGGGACGGGGCACTGAACCTCTGTGGATCATAGAATCACAGCACAGTTTGGGTTGAAGGGAGCTTAAAGCTCCTCCAGTTCCAACCCCTGCCCCGGGGCAGGGACACCTTCCACTAGAGCAGGTTGCTCCGAGCCCCTGTGTCCAACCTGGCCTTGAACACTGCCAGGGATGGGGCAGCCACAGCTTCTCTGGGCACCCTGTGCCAGCGCCTCAGCACCCTCACAGGGAAGAGCTTCTGCCTAAGATCTAATCAGGGTGTTCTTACTGAATACAGCTGCAGTGACCAACTGTCACTGCACCTCCATCTGCTAAGAGAAGACAAGTCAGTTTAACAAATGCAGCAACTGAGGCAGAGATTAGGGGTTCCTAAGGGTGCTTAAGCAGCCATCACCCACAGGACTCTAAACCTGTGTTTTTTCTATTGTACACTGTCAAAACACTATTCCTGCCCTTTCGTGACAGCACTTGTTCTCACAGCTACAACTCACCTGCATGCTGGGGTGGGTGACTTCAGAGTGTTGGCAGCCCGCTTCCAGCTTTAGGATAGACAAGAGGCTCTTCAAGAACTGCGCCACCTCTATCACACAGATACATCACTGATGTCCAACAAAACTCTTTTTTGTCCAGCTACTGGATCTCCCACAAGAAATATTTTGGGGCTGATCACTAATAACAGAGGAAACTGAACTAAAGGCAGCTATATCTGGCATTTCCTCATCCCTTACAATAGCTGCTGGCAAATCACCAAGGCACAGTGTGACTCTGTTAAAACCATACCTGCTTCACCCCCTGGTACAGCAGCATCCCCAGCACCATCACATCTGCACTGGTCCACGGCAGCACTGCTGATGCTGCCTTTGGGTACCAGTACCCACAGAAAGGGCATGTCTCTACTCGTAAGTGTCTTCCCCAGGTATCAGCACCCCGTTGGCAATGTTTGAATTTGGAAAATGGAGTGAGAAGCATCATGAATTAGAAAACAACAATAATATAACAATAAATATGGTGTAAAGCCACAGCTAGGAGGCGGGGTGCAGCAGATGCACTGCAGGGAGGTACTAGGGTGGGCTGTGCATCCTGGTCAAGTCTCTCAAAGAGCCTATTTTTAAAGGAACTGTCAACTTCCAGACAGAAACAGGGTTATTCCTCTTCCTAAAGACACTAGTCAGCAAAGCCTCGCGTCTCCTGGGGGTTGCATGACAATTCACCAGCTACCTTCAAGTGTGTCTATTGGTTGCTTCAGGGCATAAGCATCAACCTTGGTATCAACCTGCTACCACTCAGACTGCCCAATACAACCTTTGTCATTAAAAACTAAGAACTATTACCTGTCTAACTGACTTTCCCCATCTTACCACCACGCTCACCTTGAGCTCCAGGCTGTAAGGGCATCTCCGATCCTGGGAACAACTTCTCATCTACTGCATGGATGCCCAAGGCAAAGGGTGATACACTCCCTGCGACACAAGGTCTGAACTCCAGACCAGAAGAGGCTCTGCAGATGAGAGACCTGTCCCTGGGCTCCTCTAGGGACAAGCTCGTGGCCTCCAAGCCAGCCATACCCAACACCAGTCCCAGGAAGATCCATACCCCAATTTAAGGCTTTTGAAAAGCACTGGGAATTTGGGATGGCTCTTTGCAAGTGTCTAAGGTGCAGCTAAAGAGTAGAAATGGGCAATTAGCAGCAACTACCGATCTCAGCTCATCCTTACAAGAAACATCAGGCACAGACACAGCTTAGCAGCAACTCCAGCCAGAGGAAGGTCTCCCACTGAATTTTACCAACCCTCTTACTACATATTTGACCCATAAGAAAAGCTGAGCCCCAGAAGCAAAGCAAAAGAGGAGTAACACTCACTGCGACTCCCAGCCGGCTGCAGCACAAGCACCACCACTGCCAGGAGCTGCCCCAGCCAGCAGAGAAACCGCGGCATGGTGAGACCCTTCCCAGTCGATAGCTGCTGCAGTGCACTGGGGAAGGGGAAGTGGCTGTGGGAAGTTGGGGTCAGGCCAGAGGAGCTGACACTGCCACCCCCCAGCCCTTCTGAACTGCCCACGGCAAGGACTGCCCTCCCTGAGCGCGCCAGCAAGGATGTGCTGCTGCTGCTTCTGCTCACCCCCATCCCTGGCAGTGTCCAAGGCCAGGTTGGACACAGGGGCTTGGAGCAACCTGCTCTAGTGGAAGGTGTCCCTGCCTGGGGCAGGGGTTGGAGCTGGATGAGCTCTAAGGTCCCTTCAACACAAACCAGTCCAGGATTCTTCCAAGGTGGGGACAGTGGGAATAAAGCTATTTTACAGCTAGAACTGCTTTGCAGCATCCTGGCTTCTCTTTGGTGCTCTGGGCAGTCTGCACATTCACTTTGCCTCTTTACCCTGGTGGTAGGCAGGACTGGGGACAGGAAGCCCTCTCTCTCGTTGAGCACTGATTATTGAAGGACCTCTTTGCTTTCCTATAGATGAGACAATTATGAAAAGCCAGACACAGCTGTCATTACAATTGCAGCTTTATTACAATCTTGTGGTGAAGGAGCACTGGTCGGATCACAAGATGCCTGCTCACAGAGTGCTTCCCCTTTACTGGAGGTTGCAGAAAAGATTCAGCCATTTCTTTCTTCATACTTTGTTTTCCCACAACTGCTCTTGGGACACACACAAAGATGCAGCAAGTGCCACCGCTGTGGCCTCAGATACATCTGTCCTGCTTGGGAAGGAAACCTGGCATTTTTGTTTGGATTTGAGGTGTTCTTCATTGGGCCTGCTCTGAAGGTCGTGGCTAATGAGGCAGTTTTAAGTGCTTGTTCACAATAATGGATGCAGCATAGATGAATGGAGGAGCAATGGGCTATACTGGTTTGCAGGGGGGTGTGAGGTGAGTGTGGGTTGGTGGCTCTGACCATGTCCATGTCCCGACAGCATCTGCTTGGCTCCCACAGGAATTTACTTTACATTCAGCTCCTTTCTAACCGAGCCCTTGTCAGTATAACAAACATAACTAAGTGTAGAGAGTGATGTACAAACCTAACACAGTGAGCTCTAACAGAATGAGCCAGAAGTGGGCATTTTCTGACTCCCCATATGACCAAAGTGTCAAAGTTCCTTGACCGATCAGTAAATTTTTGTCCTGGCTACTTAAGTATTAGCACAAATCACAAAGTCATAAAGCAACCCTCAGTGAGAATGATTATTCCTCATGCAAAGAGAACGGTTGTTATGATACCAGTGACAGAAGTCAGCCATACGCTGTGGTTCTTAGCTCCTTTTCAAGCTTCTGGATCTCCAGGTACAGTTTCTGGACTTCCAGCAGAGTTTTCAGTTCAGCCAGAGGAACTCCACACTGAAAAGCTTCCCTGTTCCGAAGGATCTTCTCACATGTATCACGCTTTTTCTTTAAGAGAACCAAAACAAAGACAAGGTGTTGGATGGCTGCAGGGACTCAGAGCTGAGCATCTCCCTCCTACCGCAGCCCCAAACCAGCCACGTTCGCGATCTTGGACCAGTGCTAAATGGGGCAAGGTACAGACAAAGCCTGAGCAGATGGGCAGGGGCTTGAGCAACCTGCTCTAGCAGAAGGTGTCCCTGCCCATGGCAGGGGGGTTGGAACTGAATGAGCTTTGAGGTCCCTTCCAACACAAAGCACTCTGTGATGATACTTACACAGGTAGGTGGTGGTATCCAAGTGCCATTAGCAGAGCAGGTAGTTTCTGACCTTATGGATTGATGGCCATCACGCTTGCAGAAGTAGACCAGAGTTTCATTCACATCATACCACAACTTAAGTGTGTAAATCACAAGGTCCTCCTGTCTCGAGGGCTGAAAACACTGAACTGAAAGGCAAATGTATGGAAAAAAAAGAGACGTAGTGGGAGGAGATGGAGGAGAAAACACCCGGCAAATTCCAGCTGCTGCTGGTGATTCAAAGGAGCAGCACCCACGGTCTGTGCAAGTGGGGCTGGTACCCACCGGGCTGGCAGGAGGGCAGGGGGGGGTGCCAGGCGCCATCAGCCAGGCACCGGCTCTCGGCTTCGCCGCGCAGCACGAAGCCTTCCTCACAGGAGAAGCGCACGGCTGATCCATAGGGAAACGTGAAGCTCTGTGGAGTCATCCTGCCCCTCTCAACCACGGGCCTGGGGCACCGGACCACTGTGGGAAGAGAGCGGAGCGGTGTGTTTGGCTCTGCCCTTCCCCAGGGGCAGCAGGGAGCCAGGTCTGGTGGGGCAGAACCACAATTCCTGATGTTCTCTGCATCAGTTTTATGCTCAAGCACCAGGACTGACTCTCAGCTGCCTGCAGCAGCACCCAAGGAGACCCCACCAGTCCCTGGCGTTACTGTGGTGCCAAGACCTCTGCACAGGAGCCAGAGGAGCTGCAGTCATTAAGCCGCTCTGGGTTTGAAGCTCCTGGACCAGGGCAGATAGCGGGGCCCTGGCTTCAGTGCGATCCCACACAGGAACAGCATCTCACCTCTGCACTCTGGGGCAGGCCCGCTCCACTCCAGGTTCACCCCATCATCAGAGGTGCAGTAGATGGTGGCATCCCCGATGAGGGACAGACCCTCCGCGCAGCTGTACGTCACCTCGGTGCCATAGGAAAACTGCTCCTGTCCCAAGCCAGAGTGCTGCCCGTTGGAGATTTGTGGAGGGGGGCCACAGACTGTGGGATAAAGGGAATGGATAAGAAAAGAAAAAACCAACTAACCATCACACTCAGGTGAGAATCAAAATCACTTCCAGAAAATCAGTACAAGATTTAACTTTGTGTTTGGAGTGTGGCAAATCCACCTGGGTCACATCATCCACAGGGAGAGGATATCTAAATGCTTTCAGCCCATGATCATTGCCCCCCAGAAGCAGATGCTGAAGGCAGGTCACCTACTGATGCTGTTTCTCAGTATCAATGCACAAGATTCCTTCTCAGCACTGCATTACACATACCTTTATCACAAAAGGGTAATGGGGGAGCCCAGGTGGCATCAGCCTGACACTCAGTCATGTCCTGGCCCCTGAGGACATAGCCCTTATCACACTCCAGCCTCAGGCGGGTCCCAACTGTGTAGTCATTTTTGTTTTGATAAACCTCTTTTCCATGAGCAGTATCTGGCCTTGGGCAACGAAGTTCTAGAAACAACAGAAGATAAAAGATGTCATCAACCTTTTTCCTCCTGGCAAGTTTTTCTGAGCTTTTAGGCTCAGGCTGCTTCCAGCAGCTCCCTGATATTGCTCTGGTGCCCCATCACTAGGTTATGAGTCTCAGCAGTGCCAGTTGCTTTTTCTTCTGAGATGGAAAACACATAGAGAACATCCTCTGCTCTCGAGCCTCATGTCAGCTAACCAGCCCCGCTGCTGTCCAAAGCACAAACCACATCCCCTTCCAGCTGGGTAAATGTCTCCTGGGCTTCTTGGGAACCTCCTAAACATCTACACACTACCAAACCCCAACTCTTTGCATCCCACGTCCCCAGACATTGCCAAGCCCCCATACTTTTTCCATGGAAATCCCCAGGCAATATAATGATCCATGGGGATCTTTTGCTGCCTCCTTCTTCTGAGTTAACACAGGAGAACTGGATCTGGGGGTACCTGGCAGTGGAGCAAAATCCACTACCATTATCTAAGGCTGCATGTAGGTTTCTCTGTGAGTATCAGCAGACAGCTATAGAGCTGATAGTCAGAAATAAGCAGTCGCCAAGTCAACATGTTCCACCAGCCCTTACATACCTGGAAAGCACTCTGGTACTGCTGGATTCCACGTACCATCACTTGCACACCGAAGCATAATGTTACGGCTATGACCTTTGAAAGCATAACCATCATTGCATGTAACTTCCAGTATGTCTCCATACACATAATCTTCTTTACCTTCCTGTACACTTAAGGGCTTTCCATTCCTGATGACTGGATCTGGGCAACGAATTCCTAAGGAATGCCAAACATCAAGTGTGAAACCATGGCAAAGCCATCTGGCTGCCAGCATGTTCAGAAGGATGAATGTTTTGTAAGATAAAGATATATCACAACACTACATCTGCCCCAACAGCATCCCTGGGCACTCCTGGGGTGTTTGCAAGGGGCTCTGCAACTGGATGGAGCACACCTCAATGACCTTTTCCCACAGGTTCCAGGGACTAGAAAGCATAGGTGGTAAATAAAGCAGAGAAAGCTGTAGTTGGGGAGTCAATCAAAGGAGTTCAAGAGTCACAGCACAGACCAAGCCGGGCACCCACAGCATCTCCTTCTCCTCCTCAACCCTGTGCTCTGCACAACAGCAGGACACGGATAGTTTATACATTATCACACTCATCACAAGGGTAAGTGAACCAAAGGAGCATCCACTTACTTTCACAAGGACGGGGGATTTCAGTCCATGTAAAATCCGGCAGACACGTGATGTGCCATGTGTCTTCCCCCGGGCTGAACTGGTGGCCCTCCCAGCACTCGTAGGTAATGACAGTGTCCACAGGAAACAGATTGCCAGCAAGTTTTCCTTTAACAGCATTGTGCACGTCTGGAGGGTCACCACAGCTATCTAGGAATGAAATAGCAGTTCAGGGACATTGGCAGGGATAAATCAGTGAGGTCCTTAATGGTACGTAACATAAGAGAGAATCTGGGTAAAGATCATGGTCTCTCATTGTTCCTTCTGAGATGCACTTAATCCCTTTGGAAAGAGGCTTTGGACAAGGGCCTAAAGGGACAGGACAAAGAGGAATGGCTTTAACCTGCCAGAGGGGAGACTGAGATGAGCTCCGAGGCAGAAGCTCTTCCCTGTGAGGGTGCTGAGGCGCTGGCACAGGGTGCCCAGAGGAGCTGTGGCTGCCCCATCCCTGGCAGTGTTCAAGGCCAGGTTGGACACAGGGGCTTGGAGCAACCTGCTCTAGTGGAAGGTGTCCCTGCCCGGGGCAGGGGTTGGAGTTGGAGGAGCCTTAAGGTCCTGTTTACATTTTAACCCATCACCCCTTGTTCTATCACGACAGCCCCTGATGAAGGGGACCTCACTGAAGGGAAGGTACTGGATGAGGTGGAGCAGGGCTTGGGCCACCACACTTACTGAGCAGACAGCGTGGCAGTGGCGGGTCCCAGAGCCCGTTCTCCCTGCAGGTGGACGCGTCGCTGCCGTTCATGGTGTAGCGGAAGTGGCAGTCGAACACAACAGTGTCCCCATAGGTGTACTCAGCCCGGTACCCGCTCAGCAGCTCCCCGTTCTCCACACTCGGCTGCTCACAGTTAACCACTGCGCCAGGGAAAAGCCAGCACACAGAAGATGAGCAGTTACGCTCCAGAGGGGACAGGAACATGTTAAAAACATTCTCATAGCATAAACCGGGTTCTTCAGAAAGGCTGCAAATGGCCATGACAAGGCAGGGGGCTGACGTGACATTCTTACACGTCCATTTTACAGCATTTTTATTTCACATCTTTTAGCAAAGCAAACTGTAAGAAGAACATAGGGAAGGCAACAAGTAGCACAGCAGGATTCTGCATTCTGTTTTAGACAGGCCAGTGGGTGAGATACATTGTCGGGTCTGCAAAAGCCAATAAAAATCCCATTGCCGTATCCCTGCTGACTCGCTGACAGTGAGCAGTTGTGGTCCCTGTGCTGGGACACCCTCATTGCTGCTGCTGCTACCAAACTCAGAGGGTCCCATCTGTAAGAGATGATTCCATAAAGGAGAGGGACAGCTCCAAAGAGGAAAACAGCTCTAGCAGGCAGGGCAGGAGGCAGCGGGAAGTGGCTATCGCCGGTGCTGCTGCAGTGCCCCAGCGTGTTTGCAAGTACATGCTCCCCTCACCTTTGCACTTTGGGGCTGGCTTGCTCCAGACACCATTGACGTTGTCTGTGGTCGTACAGAAAATAGAGGCATCTCCCACCAGGGAGAAAGGCTTCTCTCCCCTTTTCACAGTGTTGCATGTGTAAGTGACAGATGCCCCATATGCAAAGACCTCTGTGCCCGCTCCACTGTGCTCTCCATTAGCTATTTCCGGAGGGGGTGAACATGGGATTGCTGGGGAAGGGAATGGTAGAGGGAGGGAAAAAGAAAAGAGAACAACATTTGTTTAGAACCAAAGGTCTGGTAAGAAAAAAGTTGAAACATGAAGCACCAAGATCAGAAATTCAAGACAGGTCTCAAGGAGCTGCCCACCAGCCCATGGAGCTCTGCCCAGGGCGCTGGGTGGTTTGGGGATATACCAGTCCGACATGCAGCTGCCTTACAGACAATGAACAATAATTCTACAGGTTGATGAAGGAAATAAAACACAAACAAAAACCATTTCCAGACTCCACCGTGCTTGGGACTGCTGAAATCCTCAGCACAGCAACGCAGCCACGTCTTTATCCATCCCCAGTAACATTTAAGCAGTTGATCAGTTCAGGAGCTCTACTTACGCTCACAGAAGGGAATATCTCGGTCCCACATAACAACCCCATTTTTAACCACACACCAAATCTGAGGATTTCCAACCATTCTGTACCTGCATGAAACAGGGGAGAGGGAATTACTTGATAAGCTTGGTTTCAATGTATTACCTGCAACATCACCATCTTATTGGTTTGGCTTCCTTATCATAATTACAACTGATCAGAAATGGTTTAGAAAGGGACAGAACCTGCGTAAAGGAAGAACTGCCTCAAAGTATGAGCTTGAGAAAACTCAGTCTTAAAGCTTTCAAAGGAAAGCTTAAAGATACTTCACAGTCACAGTCTGCAATTCCCTCCACTCATAAGGCTTCTGAAAGCACAGGCTTTAATCCAGGGGGAAAAGACTCCAGAAAAATCGCTGTGGAAGAAGAGGACCTGTGCCTGGAGTGCTCCTGCCTTACCCGGTGTT